AGTCTTGACAAAACATGAAAACATATATAATGTTTTCGACCAAGAAGACTAACAATTTTCCGAATAAAAACTTCATTTATACTAAACATCTTCGGGGCTAGAAGGCACGAAGTGCCTGGAAGCCCCACTCCCTTTTTTTTTTTTTTTTTTTTTTTTTTTTTTTTTTTTTTTTTTAAACTGAACTAATTTACTACTTCTCCAATTAACACTCATGAACAATGTTTTTTTAAAAAAAATATAATTTTTTATTCTAAATTTTACATTAACATGTCATTTATTATGATCTCATAAAACATATCCATATATTATAGTTACAGTAATATTAAAATTTCAAATTTTGAATTAATTTGGTTATATTATGACCATTAAGCCAAGATCCCAACTTCTCTATGCTATCTATGAATTTCAACTCTATATGTAACTAACACGTTATAAGTTTTGTTTATAAATATAAGGTGCATTTCAGTAAATTACTCTTTTATAATAGTTCTTTTATTACAGCTATAAAATCTATACTAAATCTATATGTTTTTATACTAAATTTATTAATTGTAATACTAATTTTAATTGTTGCTGATCATATGCTAATTTTTATATGAAATCCTTAATTAGAAACTTGAGTTGAATATATATTATATGAAACAATCGGTGTTTAAAACAAAATACAGCTTGATTTATATAGTAATTTATGCTTTACATGTATTTTATATAAATTTTTATTGAATTCAAATATTCAATAGTTTTTTATGCTAGATTGTTGCATGCTAAGTTCGGTCAACGATAGAAATTGAGTGGAAATTAATCGTCGAGGAAGTACGATTATGTAAAGTAAAAAAATGTTGTGGGATTTTTAATATTATATATTATTTTATAATAAAATTTTTTTGAGTCATTTTAAGAAGCACATATAATTTTTTGAATTTAAAAATTAAAGTAGTGTCAAACGAATTTATCACTTAATTTAATACTCAGATTTCTTAAAATTAATGAAAAAAAGGTTTTCTGAGAACTTTTGAGAATGGTTTTCAAATTCCATTATTGAAAATATATAGGTATTGTATGAAATTCAAACTCTATATTTATTAAAATTCTAAATTTTTAATAAAATAACTTTTCAGAGGAATATGATTTTGAATGGTTGATTAATAAGTATAAAAATGTCTACGATTTTAAGGAGGGAATTGTTCCTTATGAGGTATACATCATAACTATATACCTCATAAGGAACAATTCCCTCTTGATAGCTGGGAAACTTTCTCTGAATAACTTATCATTTGGAGAAAGTTTCCCAGCTATCTATTAGAAACTAAAGGCTGTGAGGCACTAATATATAATCAGTGCCTCATAGCCTTTAGTTTCTTATTAAAAACGAGAAAACTTGTTCGAAATGATAAACAATTTCGAACAAGTTTTCTCGTTTTAAGGAGGGAATTGTTCCTTATGAGGTATACATCATAACTATATACCTCATAAGGAACAATTCCCTCTTGATATCCTGGATATTTTTGAATATATTTTTTTAATTAAAGTTCTCAAAAGTATTATCAAAAGTGATTTTTTTAAAATATCTCCAATTAATTAACTAATTAAAAGTATTATATTTTTCAAATTAAATAGTTTTTCAATTTTTTTGAAGGAATTGAGATACTTCCCACGACAATAAAATTGAGAGGTTTACATTATGACTGATCTTAGCATGCAACAAGATTAGTTGTATTTATTTAAATATATTATATTGGCAACCTTTCTTTACCCTGTCCTAATAAACGCATTTTGTAAAAAAATATAGTGCATCAGTTTCGAACTAGCGTCCACGGTACCCAATAGTAAGGGGTAATAACCATTCGACCATTTGCCACGTAAAGCATCGCCAGATTTTTTTGTATTTAATCACTCCCAAAACACTGTTTTGGCTTATTGGAAGCATATCAGACATAATCGCCATAATCAAAAAATCTATATACCCAATAAGTAATAAATTTGTCGATATAGATTTTCCATAAAATTAGTTTTTAGTCTGATCTTAAAATAAATTTAATTTTTTGTAAAAAAAAATCACATTTAAAAGTACCTTTTTAGTAGCTCGAAATCCTGTTGGTGGATTTCGGGCGTAATTCAAAATTAGCTTTTCTTCTACATATGCAAGCTATATTTTAAATATGGGGCAAATCGGATCGGCGAAAGGAGTTTAGTTACCTTTATAAAATATTAAATAATATATCATATATCAATCAAACACAGATTATTTAGTAGTGCTCTTACGTCTGTATGACATGACATTTAATTCTGTTATTTATGGTTAATTTTCAATATGAATCTTCATGCCGGTTGTCAGGATTTTGAATTAACCTTTATGCCAGATAGGCGTAAGTACATTCTTATATATATTTCTCCAAATTATTTGATCAAACTTGATGCTTATAAAATAATTCCTATCTATTTATTATCATATGAGGTGTAATTACATTTCTGCAGCAACATTGTAAGAGAAACAAGAAATATGATGATATGATGAAGTTTCATATAATATATTTAATCATTTAGGATTATTTATCCATTGAATTATTTCAATGTTATTCCTTTTCTTAGTCGAAGTTTTTATTTGATCAACGAATTGGATTCCATCATGTCATGACATAGATTATTCGATATTGACTTCAATTTATGATAGAAACACATTCATCGCACTCTTCAATATTCAAAAATAAATTAATATCAATGACTTTACTTATCAAACAATTCATTTTTGTTTTCTTGCTGTTTATCTTCATCAGTCAAGTGGTCAATCGAATGTTGACGAAGTGTTGTTTTTCTATACTCAATTTCATACACATTGCATGTGCTCATAATGATTTGATAGTTCTTAATGAACTCTCATTTACTTCATCTTCTGATATCATAGTATGTAAAAATAATTATTAAACAGTTTATAATTTATCGAATAAAAAGTTGTCAACTTTAAATGAAACATGAATTTATCGATTAAATTCATAAATTTTTATTATTTTTGAACCACAGCGAATAGCAATCAATTTTCCCCCTAGAAACACTGATTTTAGTGACCCTAAAATGGTTACCAAAAAAAAATCCAGGATTAATAAAAATCATTAGAAAGACAATGTGGATATGGTATGGATATTTAAAAAAGTTATTTTAGCAGAAATTCTCTAATTACAACATCTTTCAATGGAAACAATTCAATTTTTTTTGAAAAATTTTGACATTTTGTTTCAAAAATGTTTTTCAGACTTATCTCAACGATATATGCTTACATTCATGAACTATACATTTCACTCTTGTCAAGAATCTTCTGCTATTGGTTTAAGAAACGAGATGAATACTTCCGAATACATCCCAAATTTTGCAAAATAATTTATTTATATCAACATGGAAGTGTTCGTGGCCCTTTCTACAGGCTCAATTTATCAGAGAACGTCGTTGAATATTTAAAATCTATATATATTCCAGAAGGATTTAGATTCAATGGACTTTATGTTCATTCAATAGATAGCTTCCTATTATTCACTAAAGGGATTAATCTGTATGAAGAAGATTTCGACAATATTGCGAGACTGGCAGTTGGCGCATTTCTTAGAGAGCTTGAACAAAAGAGTCAAATTTATACCGTATACACTATTAGCGAGATTGGTTTTGTAGTTGAAGAGCTAGTATTAAAATTTCTTAAGAAACCAGAGATGAACACACCAGACGAAATAATTTCATACTTGTTAGAATTTTCCAAAGCAGCAGAACGAATTCCATGGATTATAGTCGAATTTGATTCAAAATTTAGTACAAAAAATTTCAAACAAACGAAATTTAGATACAACGAGATCAACTATTCAAATAATCCATTAAAAATATACTTTGAACTTTTGGACAAATACTCCATAGACAAGAATGATCCCTTATGGTACCTTTATTGCTTATTGCACAATGAAATTAAGGAGCGTTCTCCTCCAACAGAAGCATGTTGACAGTTGTCACTCAAAATCATGTGTACCATCACAGTTAAGTTTTGTTGCACCTTTCATCCTTTATTCTAAGTGAAATTAATTTTCTTCCAAAAAAATATTTCGAGAAATCAGTTCAAATAAAAGGCTAATTTAGTATGCATTGATTGCATATTCTGTTTATCCTATTATTTTTAAGCTAATGCTAAAAGATGGAATGATGTGCTAATTAAAAATTTACATGTCTGGAAAGAAGAATAAGCATACTTTCCATCAGCTAAATAGGGAAAAGAACGAGTGTCATGCAAGCAAGATCGACCAGAAGCATGACACTATGAAATCAGACACGTTTGAGTCTTTAATTGCAGAATTTTGGCAATAAAGAGGTTTTTTTATCAAAATCATGAATAAAATAGCTATAAATGAATATTTAACGAATTTTATATGTTTAAATAAATTACTTTTCACAATATCAGAATGAATTTATTTGATTCCAAAGTTAATATACAAACTATCAGAGCACGAACCTACAGTTGTATGCAAAGTTATCCGATACTATAAAACTAGACTTACTCTGCATTTATTCAACGACTTTTTATTTACCAATGAGAATTGATAAAATCCTATTTATATTGTCACTCATTTTCTAAATCATGACTTTTGTGTTCAAATAAATAGTGGCAGATTTGATCTGCTCGATATAAAAATTAATTCACAAAAATATCACTTTTATGTAAACTATTCAATTTAATTATTTCAATGAATAAATTTTTGAAAAAACTCACACAAAACCATTTCAATAATTTAATTGATAGGAACTTTTGAATAATTATAGAAAAATTGATGCATTTAATGCTACTTTCCGGACCAACAATCAAAATATTTCAATTGTGGTTCGACCGATTTATCTTTTGAAATGCTATGTGAAAATGTTCTCATTATGGCACACAACAGAAGAATTGCATTAATTTGCTAGTAAACGAAAACAGTTTTATTAAATAAACATTTAAATTCAAACAATATTAATTCAGAAAAAAATAATACAAATTAGCAGCAGCTTGAGTGTGAAATTGGCTCTTTCTTGACGATAATGTTAATTGGGCATTCATCCGAAGAAGAAAACTCCGGATTTATAAGAGATTTGATGAACAACTTTAAAGCACTGTCTACACCATCTCCGCTTTTGGCAGATACTTTAAAGTTATGTACTACATGATTTTTCTTCATCCATGAATTGATCATTTCGTCACTAATTTTTGGATCTAAATCTGATTTGTTGCCAAGGAGAAGAACAGGCATTTCATAATTTGTATCAACTTTGCATGTGTCAAGGAATAATTCCATGTATGCATCGATTGCCTCGAATGATTCAATTGAAGTTAGATCATAAACTAAAATCATACCATTTGCACCACGTAATAGGGATGGAGCAACCGATCTAAACCTTTCTTGACCAGATGTATCCCATAGCATTGTTGTTACTTCTGTATCATCAACCATCATGGTGTTTGTAAAGAATCCTGCTCCAATTGTAGACAAAGTTTTGTCCATGAAACTTCCATTGCAATATCTGTTAATAATTGAAGTCTTGCCAACATAAAGTGGACCAAGAACTACAATTTTGAGATCTAAGGACGATTCATGGAATGATGGTCCCATCGAAATGAATTGAATAGAATTTGAGATGCCTTCATTTTTTGAGAACAAAAGTTTCTATCATATTAATGATTCTACAATGCATTTTGTCATTAAAGTTTCGTATTTCAAATAAAACGATGGGGCCAAAATTATCACAATTTTTGAGAGACCATTAACTTTGTATAAGTAAATGACATTTTAGATAAATAGATTTGATGTTTAATAGGCATATTACAACGTTGGAATAAAAAAAATCTGGGCATTCAATTTGAAACACTATTCAATTTTTAAATTCCGATATTCGTACTTGCGTTTATTATTGGAATATAACTAACAATTTAGAAACCAAGATAAAATTTTATTTACAGACAATTTATCTTATCAACTTTAAATTCGGCATATATTTTTAGTATATATTAATATTTAAAAATAAAATTTCGTATAAAGTTTTTTTCATATTGTAAAGAATTTTTCCAAGCCATTGTTCAAAACTTAAGGGTATAGTCCACTAAAAATTTTTAAGTTTTGACAATGAAAATAAGCTCTGTGACCATGTAAATATATATCTATGCAAAACGAGAGGTTATGCCATAATTTTTTTTGGTTATCAAATTTTCCTTTTTTTGAGAGAAGTCTCTCAATAATTTGAGAAGAATCTTTGATATAAAGAGATACACATTTGTAGAACGAAGTAAGTGTTTTCCAAACATTTTATATGTTCATCCTGTATAACAATATAAAGCTGCATAGTGCCATCTTGTGCGTTTGCTATTTTATGCACTTTTCATTGAGATAATCCCTCTTCTCGGGTGATTTTAACAGTCAACTCAATTTTAAAATAAAGATTTCATCAAAATGATTTCGAAATTCGGATATTGATTATATAAATAGCACTGTTAACATATTTTGGATGAGTAAAAAATACCTTGTTTTGTATGCATTTAGTACACCTTTATTTTTGATTAAAACTATAAAATTTTTATTCCTTATATAATAAATAGTATATGTTACATAAACATGAAATTCAATAGCATTCAATTTTGGATTTTTTAGATTTGGTAAATTTTAGAAGAAATAAAATCAGCAATCAAAATAAAGAAACTTTTTTTGTATCTTCTATGATTACCTTTTGGTACTAAATTTTGCATTAATAAGTAAATTATCTGTATTATTCTGTGAGCACAAGCCCTCAGTTATGCTGGTAGTGAATGATGAATCGTCATTTTGCGAAGAGAACGCGATTATTAAGGTAATTTTGAGAATTGTCTTGAATTATTTAAAATTAAAGTTAATTGAATAGGTAGGATAACTAGCCTTTGCTAAATTTGTATAATTTGACCTTATTCTAGTTGGATCTGAGAATATTTTGCTGAAATAATAAATTATATCGCCGATTTATGAAAATTTCTCTGATGGGACCGACTCGCTGAAACGTATTAGTGTTAATGGTAACTTGTCTGAATTTTCAAATTTTTTTCGAAATCCAAAAAATCACAAACAAAAGCATCAAAATTAGATTTGCATTTAAGGTTTTCATTTTTTTTGGAAAATAAAAATATTTTTCCCCAATAAAGTTTATTTTTACTTTTGAGAGGAATAGAAACGTTATTTTGGAATTTTGAAACGACAGAAATGTTCCATTTTTAATGTAGATTCTAAAATGGGGTCAAATTTTTGATTGAACCGTTATCCATTGAAAAACCTCGATTTTAAAATGTTATTCCAAAATATTCATCTAATGATATAGTATATATTTATTAATTATTACTTTTTATTCAATTTTCACTTTTGGCGGGATTTCATTTTTTTGTTGTTGTATGGGCCATATTGTTCACCCAAAACGGAAAACAAAGGCAATGCATAACATTTTACTCCACGAACGTCGTCGACTCTCAGCGCGACAGATGCTTGGTGCTTGCATAATGACCGGAATGCCATATACAAAAGGTGCTCGCTTTCTTTCTCTTTGTGGAACTAAGCCCCCTGTGAAGAGTGGTGTCATGAGACAACAGAGATTTTGTGACGATAAGATTAGAAGACTTAAAAGTATTTCCCTAATGCTGTCGAGAAAGTCCTTCAGTGGTTACTTATCCATTGATGCAAGATGGACGCACAGGCGAAACTCGCCAAGTTGTACAGTAACTGCGCTCGATGCTGTCACAAAAAGAGTTCTTGCATGCGTGAACATCAACCATATTGGTGGAAACAGACAGCATGCTCAGTATTCCGGAGCTTCCAACAATATGGAAAGTGCTGGAACTCGAATCATCTTGAAGCAATTAAAGAAATACAATATCTTGAAAGATGTTAAAGAGATTATTAAAGACCGAGATAACAAAAGTGTCTCTGTCTTTAAAGAATTTGGCGTCTCTCATCTTGAAAGATTCGATCCAGGTCATGTATCAAAAAATATCTCAAAAGATTTTACAAAGTTCTCAGCTTCTCATAAGACAGTTGAAGTTTTCAACGACAAGACTCAGAAGATTGAAAAAATAGAGAGACCTTTCTGGGGTCTGAATGCAAGCCTAAGTATGTGGCTTTGGTCATGTTTTGCCGAAGAAAATATTGACAAACGTACGAAAATGTGGGAGAATTGTGTCTACCATTACGTAGGCAATCATTCTTTTTGCGAACCGCACAATTACAAATGCTTTGAATGGCAAAAAGGTGTCAATTCGATCCAACTTCAATTCATGCTCTATGACTGGGTTCACAAATGGACACCCATAGTTTCCAAAGTTTCTTCCATTGGATCTACCTGCATGAATGAAGCGTTTAACTCCAAAATTGCATGCTATTTGGACAAATCAAGAGCCTGGAAGAACATTAACATTAGAGTTAACGTTGCAATCTTAGAATGGAATGATCCAGAGCATTTTCTCGGAGATATACAAAAAGCATTACATCTTCCCCCACTTCCAGAAGATTGTGTCAAATCATTTGAAGAGAATTGTTACTCCAAAATGATATTGAAACAAAAAACTGTTACAAAAGGTTCTAAAAAACAGAACAAATACAAAAAATTCATTCAGAGTGTACCAGGAGGAGATTATCAAGTTTTCAAGTCCGAATGGGAATCAGAAGACGAAGACATTGATGACTTTGATTAACGAAAATTACATTTTATTTATTGTTTTTGTTTTTAATTAAATTATTATTATGCTCATTTTCTTATTTTGATTTTTTCTCATTATGATATAAATAATTTATTAATGCATTTATCCAATAATTATGCTATGATATTTTTATGCCTTATTTCATTTCTCTTATATTTGATAATCTGGTAAAATATAGTTCAGACTATAATCATTTTAGATTATTGATATATTTATATAGGTTAGAATAAAATTAGTTTCATTTTCTACTTTTATTTTGAATTAATAATTTATAATATCAAATATTATGGCGTAACCTCTCCTTTAAAATATAGATATATATAGGCCTATAGAGTTTATTGGCACTCTCAAAACTCTAGAATTTTGAGTTTACTATACCCTTAATAACAATATAAACTTAAAAATTCCATCTAAAAGAAATACATATTTGAAAATTCAAGCTGAAGTTACGTTATAACTACATACGCCCATAAATTAGAGAATTTTAATGCATCTCTATAATTTTAAACGAATTCTGTCAATTTCTTTAATACGAATGTTGCAAACAAACAAGTTTTGATGCTCTTTTTACAAGAATAAACCTAAAGGCGAGTCCAATATTTAATAAAATTTCAAACTTGATAAAATATGCAGTTAGAACTCATCAATTCAAATCAAACATGAGAATATGTCAAGTTAAACATAACAAAATACTTTTTATTTACTATATAAAAAAAAATATTATGTGAATTGTACAACATCATCAAAGTTAGCAGCATGATCTTGTTGTATATCAGCACCAAATGTTATAGCTGTTCTTATCTTTTTGGCCATCATTTCAACTGATGAATATCTTGGGATAATCATTGTTGAATTGCAAGTCATTGCAGTTGGTAAAGGTTTCTGGGCATCCTGGGCCTCAGACATCTTGAATTGTATCTGCAGAGGCGTCATCCACTTCGAGCCAGGCGGTGGCAATCCCATTCTTCCCGTTCCAAACTTGATAAACAACATTCTTTCTTCAGGAGTGAAACCTTCCAAAGCGTCCCAAAGCATTGTTGATGAAGGATCGTTTGCAGGGAAGCTGCAGTTCCTCTTCATGTCTTCTATTGGGCATTCGTTATCTCCGCAGATGATTAGTTCTAGTTCCCAAGGAGCTAAAATCGAAGCAGCAGGAGCGGGGAAGAAAAAGTTAAAACCACGTCTCAATTGTTCCAAACTTTCATTGAATTCTTTGACTCTGAATTTCTTTATTTTTGCAAGGAACTCCAATCTCCTGTCGAATGTTACAGGTACCAAAGATCCACCAGGAATGAGTTCAACAATCGATCCAAGAGAGTTCTCTGCAGTGAAATTCAGCATGTACGTGGAATGGAAGTCCTGAGGAGACATGGAAGAACTGTTTTCAATCGAAAGAATGAACTGTTTGAAGTTGGAATCGATCTCATAAATGTCATCCAATGTAACAGGTCTTTGCGTGAGGCTGTTCCACACGAATCTTGCGAATTTAAATGGTTCAGGTAATCTTGACGTGTAGCAAATTGTCATCAAAACACCAGCGTAAAAGAAGAAATCGCGAGATTGAGGAGTTAAAGGAGAAGGATTTGGAATCAAGTAATCCTGCGCTGTAGCGATTTTTCTTCTTTTGTTTGGTGTCTGGATGAACAACTGCATTGAAGGATCCATGATTTCCATGCATGCTTCCGTGAACAAATCTCTTCCTGGACCACCTAAATCCGTTGCTCCTTCTCCAACTAAATCGACTCTCCAAGGAACACTCGCTCTCTTCAATGCTGGGATTTTTTCGATCGTTGTTTGATGGATGAACTGTGAGAGAATCGATTCTCCATTCGGATTCGTTGGTCTCGCTCTGTGCAATGCAGCTTTGAACCTGTTGAATCTGTAGAAAGGAAGAGGCATGTCGTCGTTTCTTCCGTTCAAAACAACGTTCTCCAATGTCTTCATCTTGAACTGTGTTGCAACAGCTGCTCTGCAAGAGTTGAAGATGTTGTTTAGCAATGATCCTTCACTGCCGAACTCAACGACTTTGACGATGTCTCCGATGCATTGGTCCAAAGAATAGAACAAGAAAACTCTGCATCTTAAGAGTTGTTGAGAAATCGTTGCAATGCTTGGATTCGATGCTAAAACTAAGGCAGGAATCTTCAAAGGAACTTTTGTGAACAGACTTGGATCCGATTTCAAGATCTTCCTGAGTGTTTCGTCGTATCTTGAGTGCCAGTTCTTTGACATCATGTTTGCATCTCTCAAGAATTTTTGGTAATGGTCGACGAAAACTTTTCTTTTCGCTTCATGTGTCAAAGGTGTGCAAGTTATAGAAAGAATGAAATAAAATTCATCATGTCCATCGTATTCTTCGTGTCCTGACTTAGAAACAACACGGGTTGTGAATGAAGGAGTTGAAAGAATACTTTCTCCAGGAGAAACAAAAATTACATCTCCAACTGTTGGCTCAATTGCAATGACGCAATCAGGTGGCAAATGGCTTTCTTCCGCAAGTCTTATCTCTGCTTCTTTCATGGATTGGAACTCGCAATAATGAATTTTCTCGGAGATCTTCAAACTCGAGTTCAACTCAAATGATTCACTCCAACATTGTGCAATAATATACGCAGGGAATTTAATTGGAATTTGAAGACTAAATCCTAATGCGCATAAAATTGCAAATGCATGTGTCATTTGCTCGAAAACTGTTGCGTCTTTCGCAGGAGTTGCTGCTTGAATATACGCGTCATAAAGATTGGCAATCTTCTCTTTGTCATTGACATCTGTGATGTCGGCAGCCATTGTGTCTAAAACTAACAGTTTCGTGAAAACTCTCATGACTAATGACTGCTGGGCGTGATAACTCAAAGGAGCCCATTCTTTGATGGTGTATTCGTAGCGAGAACTGAAGCCGTCGAAAGCAGCTTTGATTTGTGGTGTTAAGTCTCTGATTTGCCAATCTAATGATGTCAAAATCGGAGCTAAAACAGCGCCACTGAATACATCAACGAAAAAGTTTCCGACACCAATTGCATTTGTTACTTGTGTGAAAACTTTTTGTTTGATGAACATCACGAATTTCTCTGGAATTGATGAATAAGAGAAAACATGACTTAAAACGTACATCAAGCAATGGATTGCTCCTAAAGGAGTTCCGTTGTATCTATCAGGAATTCTCCTTGGAACAACAAAGAAACCGATTTTCAGGCCGTATAAATCTTTGCTTTCTCTTCCGTCGTAGTTTATCTCTGTGTCATTTGTGAATAACTGTGTGTCTGAGTGGCAATCCAAATAAGAACAGTTTCCTATCTTTATGCTGTTCTCTCCAATGGATTGCAATGGATGTACGACAGGAATGAAACCAACGGAATTCTTTGGAACATGGATTTTCGTGTGAATCGATGTCAACGGCATTGGATGCCAACTTTCAATGATCTTACATGGTTTGATCACTTCGAATATGTCACTTGCAACACATAATGTTGAAGAATTCAAGTTAACCAAAAGAGATTGAATCAAAATCTCCAAAAATTGACTTTCTCTCACTTCTTTCGACATCAAGAAAGCTCTTATCAGTCTGTTGAACTTCTTTAAATCGCCAGGACATGTATAAACAGGGTCATCATGACTAACAACGCTTCTTACACTTTCTTCTTCGCAAATGTTCACGTTTGTTGTCTCCTTTGAATCCCATTCTTTGTGGACATTGATATTTGGAGTGAATTTGGCGATTTCAAGAACAAACAACTTGAAAATATTAATAACTAAATCGTTTTCAAGGGATTTAACGTTTCCTGAGATTCTCACGTGATTGAAGATGATCATTGCTGTGTATCTTGACATGTAAAGACTCAAGTTTCTCATCAATTTAAATTGCAATGACCTCATTTCTTTCAAAATGATAAATCTTTGTCTTGGATTTCCTTTTGGACTTAGGAGTCTTTGATGTGAATGTTGTTGAGAAATATAGAGTAGTTTGCAATTAATTGGATCAACAAACCTCGAATCAACAACAACAGAAGAAGATTCTCCTAATCCAGGATCCAAAATTTGGACAGTTAATTGGTCAATATCATTTTTATCGTGAACAATTTCAGTGATTGTTCCGAATTTGTTCATTCTCATGTCAACTTCAGGAGGAGTGAACTTAAATGACTTGGAAAGAGATTGCTGTTGATTCAATGATCTCCTTGCAATCATTACTGGCTGTCCAAGCATGAAATTGGCCGCATGTTGCTGTGGTTCTCTCAAAGTGAATTCTGTGTACAAATCACTTGATATTTCATGGTTATTCGTTGAAGTGTGGAAACTTCCTGGTTTGTCATTGGAATATTGGATAGGAACATCCCAAATGGCAGCACCATTTTCAACGAATTTATCGAAATCTTCTAAACTGTTTCCTTGTGGTAATTGGTAATTGATTTGCGTAGGAATTGGTACATCAATTCTCCTCAAACAATCACTTTTGATATCAAACAAAGGAGAGGAAATAACATCAGCAACAAATGGTTGTTCGCCGAAGTTATATGTCAGTGACATTGGACATTTGTTTGTTATCAAAACAGGAACGAAATCAGAAATAGAAGTGACAGGAATCGCTGATTTCATTGGCGATCCATTATGGAAGAACAAAACAGAATCTCTCGTGTATCCGCATCCAATAACATCTCCTGCCTTTATCTTTATTGATTCCGTTGGTGTGTGTTCGCCAAGGAATTTGGCTCTTGGCAGACAAGCTTTGAAATCAAATGTATAAAGAGAATGTTCTAAAATTGTTGATGAAGACTCCATTAAACCGAGTTGGAAATTCTGATTCGAAATAGTTTTAATTGTTATTTCGAAATAGAACAAAACAGTGTTCGGCATAGGAGTTTCACCAACAAATATACATTCATCTTTCAAAATTGATTTCAAAAGATTGTCATTAACTGATCCAAATCTCAAAGGAACAAAAGACAAACAACTTGGATGATCAAAAACTAAACTATAAGGTAATAAATTACTTGTAACTTCTTCAATGCCTGCCTTATTCAATGCATAACTTCTTGAACTCGCTCTACAGATTTTATGCATCAATCTTCCAATGGATTCTATCTTAGAAGCATTTGTTGACGTCGATGCCATTTTATAGAGAGAATCAACAGGAAACATGTTCATGAACAAAGTGAGATTACGAGGTGATTGTAATATAACAGGAAGGAAACAATAGAAGTTTGCAATGCAGAATTCTGTAACATAATTCTGTGTTTTGTTTTTCTTCAAGTATTCCTGTGCGTAATTGTGGAAATTCGATATAACTTTCATTTCATCATTTGTTAAATCGAAATCTAATGGATTAACAGGAATTCTCGCAGAAGGAATAACATAATCGGCATCAGTTTCATTCACTAATTCGTCTGTCTCGTTAACAGGAATAACTCTCATCTTACTCGTGATGGAATCATATGTATTTATCTTAACAATCTGTTGTTCTGCGCCTTTTCCACTTGTATAAACACCATATCCATGTGGAGAATACATTGTGACTTCAAAGCCAAGAATGGAGAAAAGTGAAGTCAAAATTTTAATGGAATATAAGTCTAAGTTCGAGAAATCAACGACATGTGAGAAACTTTCGAATTTAGAGTGAAGTTGTCTGATGATTTTCTCTCTTATCGTTGAATTCTTTCTAGAACAAAGTCTTATGAAAGCAATCATTTCTTGGACAACAACATGATGGCTCTGGAATGATGACGACTCTTTAATAACTTGGCAACTCATGCCACACATTGTTGAGCCAATGCATTCAAAAATAAATTCAATGAAACCGTCAAAATTCATCGTTTTTCCTTCAAAAGTTGCTGAGAAAGAATTTATTTCTTCTCCGAGGTTTACAACGATTTGTTCAAGCCAAACGAATGTCGCAACAATGACTCTCGGTGTTGCATCCTTCATGATCTTTATGACATTCGATGGATCGGCCAATGGAATGGCTTTCATTTGTGTCAAAAGTGACAAAATGTAAAGTGCTTTATGTTGGCAACTTTCACTTTTCGGATCTGTTGCGAATTGGAAGAGTGTTTTAACTATTTCTTCTGTTGGATTCTTTATTGACCATACGGCAATCAATCTCCAGGAGTTCCTGTACGCGATGATTCCTTCTATCTGCTTTTTTAGAACAGATCTAGTAAATTTTGCCAATTCTATCGTCATTTTTTCCAAATTTGCATGAGAAATCAAATTTTGAGTGGGAACAGCCAGAATTTGTAACAAAATTAACGAGAGATATGATCCAGATGTCTCTACAATCCTGTCTACTATCTTTTGGAACAATGTCGTGAAAGATTTTGACAAATCATTTATCTCATCTTCCGAAACTCCTTTGACATCACTGATATTCGCAACAATAGATAGTGCCTGATGCAAAGGAAGGATAACACTGATCTTGGATGTCCCAAATAACCCAGAATCACAGATAATATCCTTTAAAAAGTCAATTGTTTCTCTTCTTATCAATAATCTCTTCGATCTTCTGTCAATTATGTGGTTAATGCGCTCCATTTCGACGTCGCTCGTTATGAAGTTCCTCAAATCCTCTAAGATCTGGTTATTTTGGTCGTTTTTGTTGATGGATTGGGAATTTAATAAAATTTTACACTTCATAACTATTTGTTTGAGGAATTCTGGGTAGTTCTCGCGCATAGTTTTAGGTTCTCCTTCTAATTTGGCTGTTTTCTGGGCACTTTGGAACATATCTAATTTTATTTTGTTAAATATCCTCCAAACGTGCTTTAATTCATTGGAAATGTTGTCAACCTTCTCGTCTTTCTCGAGCTTGCTTTGTATTGCTGAGCATTCGCCTAATAAGTTCAATTGATACAATAAACTTGAAATTATGTATTTTTCAGCCAAAGAATTCTCAGGAGACTGTTTGGCTCTGTGCAGTGACTTGACAACACTGTTCATGTGATCTACGAACTTCAGATTGTTTTCTTCATTGATGATTTTATCCAATAAAATTTTTTCTTCTTCAGAAATTTTTGTCACTTTTGATTTTTGGATAAATCTTGATTCTATCACGTTTCTGTACTCCGTTTCCTGGCTTTCGAGTTCTAATGATTGCAACTTGATCAGGAGCAGTCTTCCTGTAGTATAGAATATGAAATTAAGGAAGAAAAGTGAAGCATCAAATTGAGGAGGGTGTTCTAGCTTCGGAATCAACGCAGAAGCTTCGCATTTGACTCCCCAGAAATTCACTGATTGGTCGGATTGAAATGTGACTCTTACTTGAGAGAATGGAACGTCTAATGACTGTGGCCATTGACTAGAGCTTCCGCTCAAGGTATGGAGTACATTGCCGTCCTTCAGTGAGTCGTAAATTTTCAAAACATCGTTGCCTGCCTCAGTGTGGCACTTAGAATCGAATCTAAAGTTGATACTTGAAGCTCCTTTGAAATCGAGGAGCCATTCCCTGAAGTCCTCGTCTGGGTAATTGTGGGGAGTTTCGATAATCTGGCTTATCTTCTTTACAGAAAACTCTTGAGGTACAATTCTCTGGAAATCGCAATCAGCTTTTACAGAATTAGGGTTCATCTTGCATCTCTGTACTAGTATATCAACGACATCATGTACATGCGATAAGAATCCCGCTGCAATTAAAGGAAATGTATCGATTGTTACAATTCTAAATATAATATGCTTTAAAAGGTAAATACCATCTTCAAGATTATTTTCTTTGATTAAATTGGCCGCTAATTCCATCGATGCTGATACTAATGGAGCAATTAACTCTCCGTTCTGTTTTGCGTTGCCATTTTCGATGTACTGGAGCTCGCTCGTGAGTAGATTAAGAGCGGATATGTATGTGTTCAAAATGGCAACTTTTGTAGCGTATTTTGGAAGAAATTCTATAAATTTAGGGCAAAACATGTAAACTAAAGGAGATCTATCTAAGAAAACGAATACATTCTTCATAAACTGTTCGCATAGTACTTCATCAGCTAAAATTTTCTGAATATAATTTGTAAATCTGTTGAAATTCGGGAAATACAAAAATCTGAAAGAAAACGCAATGATGCTTATCGATGCCTCGATTATTCCACTCGATTCGTGAGCAAACTCTGAAAAAGTGCATTTTTCAATAATTTCAATAATTTTGTTAAATAAAGAGATATCGCTTTCCTCGACCATCCGTTCTGGTCTTGAGAAGTTGAGGCAGTATTTGAAGATGTTCAATGAAATTATTTTAAGTCCTAAAGTAATTAATTCGTTTCTTAAATTTTTTGTGTAGTTTTCAGTGGAATAAGCGCGTTCTACGAGACTCAATGACAATGAGATGACTTCGTCGTTCGAATCAGCGACGAAAGAGAAGAATTCGCCTGAATGAGTGATTGATCCATTTAATAACCCTTCAATATGGGTATTTAAGTCGCGCATTAGGTTGTATGATAAATTTTCGATGATGCATTTGAAAGTTTTTTGAGTAAATTTCCTTTCTTCGATAGGTTGAAAATGGAATCCTTCTCCTGATGAAAATTCTTCGTTTTTGGAGATTCCGAAGAGTTCTATTCGGACATCTGGTATATCTATAGCGAATTCTCCACTTGGAGGAAGCGTTAATAAGTAAGTTAATGCTGATATGCAGCCACTGATGTTTGACTGCGCAAATCCGAGTTTAAATAAAAATGTGACAATTCTACATTGAATTTCTATTGTTTGAAAGCACGGATATGTTCCTATTTTAAGCGCAAAACGTAATAAAGATTGAATAACGGGAGAAGAGATTCCATTGAGACTTTTTTCGCTATCGACTTTAAGCATTCCTAATGCTTGATCTAAAAAGTTGATAATATCTTGCGGAGTTAAAATATCAAGATTATCAAAAATTACTTCGAAGCTTGTAGATAAAATTGACTCGAGGATTCGCGTTGACGTTGATCTTGTTTTATTAAGAGATATGAAATTTTTGGCTAGTTCTGTAAGTCGAGTATTTAATTGAGTTTCTTCTTCATCTATAGCTTTCGAGATTAAATTTGTCATATGATCGAAGTATTTATTATATGTCTTTGCTCTTTCTATATGAGAATCTGAATCTGCAATTAAAGGTTCGAAAAATAATTTTTCGACATTTTTTTGCGAGAGATCTTCGATGTTGCTGCGTTGTCCAGCCAGTATTTTTTCAATAACTGTTGATAGGAGAACTGGATCTGGAAGAGTCTGTCCTAATTTAGCGAGTTGAACGACTTTTTTGAAGTCATTGCGTATATTCTCGATATTATGCACGGAAAAGAAGTATTCTGGTCTCATATAGTCTACTTCTTGCGTATTATCTGGAGTAGATTCTGAGATACCCATTAAAAGATAAAAATCAAAGATAAATTAATTGATGACTCTCAAAAGATGATCGTCAATCAATTATCTAAAAAGTGCCTTTCATTTTTGACATCTCTGAAAAATGTTGTGCTACATTGATTAATATCAATTTTATGATTAGAAACTACTAAATGGGGAGTTTTTATTTGACTGAAGGAGATGTGGAGCTCCAGAAGTATTATCAGCAGAAGTGATAAACAAATCTGAGGTTGAGGTATCAAAAGTACCGTGTCATCCTCAGATCAACAGAGATACAAATGGAAAAAAAAACACTTCTGCTGATAATGCTTCTGGAGCTCCGCATCTCGCTCTCGTTAGATTGGCAGAAGTACAAATGACAAAGGGCTTCTGCCAATAGGGATTCATGATCTCTCAGGATAGATATTGTAATAACATGAATTTGAAAGTCTCAACAACATTTTAATGAATGTAATGTGACAACTTAAGCAATAATTTTCTAAAAAATATTATAATGTGATGTGTGTTAGTGGAAAATATTAATCTGACACAATTTAATAATATAATAAGAAACAAAAATATTTATTCATATAAACAACAAAAATTATAATTCTTCTACTGTAGAGATAGGTGTCTGGCTTGCATCAGTCCATTTAGATGTAATAGAGTCGCCATTTGTTATCTTTTCAATAGATAATCCCAATCTCTTGTCAAAAACAATTTCCTGAGCAGGAGCTTCTCCACTCTGCTCGATGGGAATGTAAAATAACGATTGGTCTATGTCATCATAGTGAAATTCTTCTTCTACGTACTGATTAACAGGCACCTCTTGTTTTTGATCGACAACTTCGATTGATAACGGTGGGGTAAGCTTTGGATGTTCAGCTGCTGATTGCCTGATCTTTTCAAATGATTTCAAAAATTCAATTAATTTATCTTCTGGTTTTAGAGTGAATCCGTACAAAAACCTGGCTCCATTCGAATACAATTTGAGGTAGAAGCATTTTCCGAATCTTCTAGAATCAGAAAGTTTAAGCGGACCAAGTAAAATCAGAGGAATCGAAACGTTGAAGTTACTTACAATTTCTGAGTGCCAAACAAATCGCATTGTCGTGACAATTGCTGTTCCTATCTTTGCCATCTCTCCTGAAAAGTTTGAGACACCATCCATTTGTACAACGACTTGTTCATCTTGAATGAGGTTTAATGATCCATTATTGATGATTGCGGATCTAAGTCTTTGCTCACGATATAATGTAGATGTTTGGTAGTTCTTTAAAGCTTTTTCGAAAAATTTAAAGACAGAACTTGAAATTCTTGAAACACTGAATATAAATTCATATGTTTTGGTTCCTTCTTTTGCTCTAATGAATAAATTCTCTGTATTTCCGTTTGATTGATTAAAGGTATTTGATATTTTGTAACTAACAATCGTATTATATCCAATTGATGCGTTTATTGTTGGTGTATTTTGTATATACCAAATGAATCTGATATTTGTAACATGTCCTTGGCCAAATTGACCTGGATGTGCTTTCATATCTTCAACTCTCGATAAAACAGCAACATTGGATTCTCCTGGAATGGCTTTCAATTTACTCTGATCTTGGAATAGTCTAACAACCTGATCTGTTGTTAAATGGCTCTCCAATTCATCTTCGTTACTCATTTTTTATATCTACCATAAATAAAAATCTGCCCCCTAAAATTATAAATGATGTTCGTTGGACATTACAGCATATATAGCTTAAGAAATAAACTAATTTTGGCCAAGAGTTTTTTCCAAAAAGGCAGTCCAAAAAAAAGATATTGTATGGAGATTCCTCGTACATCAGTTTCATCATAGAGGGTAAAGATAAATCAATTAGTATAATTGAGTATTGAGCAAGAAATTATGCTGTACCTCCTTATTAAAAAAATACTTGGAGATATTGTCAAAAATATTGGTAAAATAATTTAAAATATAATAGTATATATATCTTTATAAGGTTTGTAATACATAGACAACACAAGAAAACTGTATTTACATATTCCAGATATTTAGAGTGTAATCGAGTTGGAAATCGATCGATAGAGCGAATTCCCAAGGATAGAAGAATGTGAAGAATACTAATGCAACGACACAGAAAGTAATGAGCATCATTTTCTGCATAATTTCATTAATTTTTTCGAAAACTGCTGTTAAAGCAATAACTCCGAACATCAATGCTACATGATAGTTCATTACATTCCTTTCTTTGAATATCCATGTGATAACAATAGTCATCCAGAAAAATACCGATTCTTTCTTCAAAATTCCAAATAAGCATGCTAAAGAAACACCAATAACCACAGGAACGTTATGAACTGCTACATGTCTCTGTGCCATGTTTGGAAGGTCGTTAACCCATAAAGTGGTCGGACGAAGTTTTACAAGGTTCCAATAGAATGCTTCAGCGAAATCAGTGACAGGATTGTACTGGAGCCTGATAAGTTGAATTGTAAGAGCGATCTGCTCTTTAAATGTTGCGTCATCTGGTAATTTAATTTTGATATCGTCAGAAAACTGGGATTTCAAGATTAATTCTATTGTAAAGAAGATCAAAAACATTGAAACAGCAGATTGAAGTGACTTAAAGTATCTATTGTTAACAAAAATGAAATAAAAGAAGGCAACAAGGCCTAATGTATCAGTTACGCACGCCAAAACTGTAAAAATTCCTTGTATTTCTCTTAAAAAGTTTATATTAGTCCTTTCAGCTAAAATTCCTAAGAAAATTGTTAATGAAATAAAAAGCAATAAAAGAGAATCGGTAGTATAAAGCTTAGTTGCAACTAAGCTGCTTCCATCTAATGAAAGAAGAATGCCAGCAACGCATGAAGTAAATGGTGAAAACTTGAATAAAATGAGAGAAGCAGTAATTAGTGGAGCGTAAAAAGATCCTATAATTGCATTAATTAACCTGAGGTATTGCCAGTTTTTAGGGAATTCGGATTCTGTGTCTTTAATTAAAAATGAATACGGAATGTAAAGTAAAAATCTTCCTGAAAGTGGTTTGTTATCAAGAAGAACTTTTCCTTTTACAAAGTTTTGGAAGCATTCATAAATTTCTTTCTCTTGTTTAATCAAAATCGGAGGATATTTGTGGCCAATTACATGAAAGACTAGAGCTAAGCTGAAAACGAAGTATATGATCCAGAAATGAGAAGATTGAAAAATAGGTTCCTTTTGATGCAATGTTTTCCCGTTTTTCCTAATCATCAACTTTTGTCACTTTTTATTTTATATTTTGGAAGACAAACCTAAGTCAAGGCAAAAGCAAATCATTGAGCCAATATTGCAATTTTATAACGAATCCGGTACTGGACTTACATCTATATCAAGAAGCTCTTTCGTCAAATTAAATGTAAATCCGCCAAAAAAAGAAGTAATTGTTCTTTTAATGGGACTCCATTCAACAGGTAAGTCATCATTGATCAATTATTTCTTTGGAACCCCTATCCAAAAGGTTGCATTATCGCGTGCAACTGATAAAATCACAATTATCAAGAGTGGTAAAGAAACAGATACGTTCACTTTGTCTACATTCAAGCAGAAATTGCCTTTTATTGAGCAATGCCCTCTTTTAAATCATCATAAATACGATGTCGAAATTAAAACTGTCAATTGCACATTACCAAGAACAGACTCTGTTATTTTTATAGATACGCCTGGATACTCACCAGAAACGCCAATACAAACGGATTATATTGTTGAATTGGCAAGAATATCTGATTTGATTTACGTGATGATCGATCCTATCCAAACATTCGAGCTTAAAAAGTTTAGTAGCGCTATACAACAATTATACAAGCAAAACCACTACAAGATGAAATTTTTCATAAATAAGGCAGATACAACTCACGACATTTCAGATTTGAACCTTATAGCATCAGATAAGACTAACGAACTTATTAAGATCATACCGAAGAGCAGCGAGATCGCAGATCCTGTCCTTCATCCAATTCAAGCAAATTCGCCAAATATCGAAAATCCAGGCGATTACCAGAAACCATTTATCGACCCTGTCAGAGAGAAAGTGGACATTATGGTCCAGAACTGCATAGATAAACTTGAAGAAGATAATTCTAATATTTCATACAAAGTTGAGACATTTTTAGCTTCTGCAAAGAGGAGAAGACAATTACCTTTATATACTTTTAGTATTCTACTCGGTCTCTCTGTTTATGTTTATCTGGCGTTGACTTCTGATAAAGTTTACTACCAATTCTGGCTGAACTATGCATTTATCGCATCATTTGTCCTGTTTATCATATCATTACTACAAATGCCAAAGAGAAAGAACATTTCCCTCGCAACTGACTATCATCGAACAATTTACGGGGAAATCAAAGATTACATCCATGCAGTTAGAAACGATCTTATCCAAAATGATAGTAATGAATAAATTTTTTTGTATTTTGAATAAAATTTAACGAAAACTTATTATCAATTTTAGGATATTAGGATCGTAAAAGTCCGAAATTCCATTAAACGATTTTTGGGAAAATTTGGAATAGTCTACGATATATACAAAAGATGTTTAAAACGTGATTTTTAGAGTGGCAATAATATTTAGTGCTATTCCAGTATTCAAATAATATATATTATTGTTTTCAGAAGTTTTTACAAACAAACAAAAGTATTTCGGAACTCTTTTATTCAATTTTTTAGTATAAATAGTTGTAAACTAAATTTTTCAAGAAACAACTCAAGCTTTGAAGAAAAGAGATTCATCTTATGTCGGGAATATCTAGAATAACATATGGTTTAGTATCATTTTTAATTGAATGAAACCTGGCGATCATTCAATTTATTGTATTGAACATCTAAACATTTGAGACTCGGTTTCTGAATTCAAAACTTTGTGACATATGTTTCTAAATAATTACAAGTACAGTTCGGAAATAAGAGTCTTTATTATTAATCTTTTTAAGGTGAACCACTTGAACTTTTGCAAATTATGTTTAATGAACTTTAACTTCAATAATATCAGAGAAAAAAAAAGATTATATTGTGGAACCATGAGAAATAAGAGATTCGGTAGTTTCTTTACTATTATTCAATTCTGCATAATGAAGAGCTGTTTTGCCATCCTTATCTTTTTCATTGATATTTGCACCATATGAAAGAAGAAGATTGACAATTTCTTTATTATTATTATATGCTGCATAATGAAGAGCTGTTCTACTATTTTTATCTTTTTCATTGATATTTGCACTATGTGAAAGAAGAAGTTCGGTTGTTTCTTTACTATTATGAAATATTGTTTCATGAAGAGCGGCTAGTCCATCCTTATCTTTTTCATTGATATTTGCACCATATGAAAGAAGAAGATTGACAATTTCTTTACTATTATTATATGCTGCATTATGAAGAGCTGTTTTACCATCCTTATCTTTTTCATTGATATTTGCACTATGTGAAAGAAGAAGTTCGGTTGTTTCTTTACTATTATTATATGCTGCATAATGAAGAGCTGTTTCACCATCCTTATCTTTTTCATTGATATTTGCACCATATGAAAGAAGAAGTCCGGTTGTTTCTTTACAATTATTCAATGCTGCATAATGAAGAGCTGTTCTACTATTTTTATCTTTTTCACTGATATTTGCACTATGTGAAAGAAGAAGCTCCGTTGTTTCTTTACTATTATTATATGCCGCACTATGAAGAGCAGTTAGCCCATATTCATCTTTTTCATTTATATTTGCACCATGTGAAAGAAGAAGTTCAACGATTTCTTTACTATTATGAGCTGCTGCATAACGAAGAGCTGTTTTTCCATTTTAACTTTTTCATTGATATTTGCACCATATGAAAGGAAATATTCGCAAAGAGATAGAATATTAAATGATGCTGAATAAACAAAGCATCTGTTAACATCATTAGATTGATCGTAATAAACTAAAAACGTTTCAAGATTATTATAATTGCCACAATAATATAGATTGATTTCAATATCGAATTCATTCACTAAGAATGAAACAAAATCAATGTTGTGTGAAATAATGGCATAATTCATGCAATCTTTATTTGGTTTTTGATATTTCAAACATTTATTCATGATCTCTTGATTTCCGCCTAAAAATGATAATTCTAAACATTTTTCAGTTATTTCTGGGTCAAATTTCGTTATTAATAACTTGAAGCAATCAACAGCTCCATGGTAACAACATAATTCAAGTAATGAATACCCTTCTTTAGAATTTGGATATAAACTGCATTCAAATTTTTGATCTTGATCAAATCCATCGCTTTCAATGAAAAAGATGAATCTTTCTATGTCATTATACATAATTGCTTTGTAAATTGTATTTTCTGTATGAATATTGAGATTTATCAGTTTATTTTTTTCGAAATCAGCAGATTTGTCTAATTTAATTCCATATTCTTTATAAAATATGAAGTTAGAAACAACTGAAACTTTAGTGACCTCTGTTACTTGATAATCATCAGTTATGAATTTGGCAAGAGTCAGATATGACTTTGTATAGCGGTTATTAAACGGAATGATGCTTAAAATATCTTTGATAATATTTTGAGGAGAATAATTCTTTGAATCAATTAACTCGGTTTTAATCATTTTGTAAATCGAGTTTAATTCTCCTTCATTTTCAGTTTTAAGCTGATACAACGCATTATATGAATCGATGTAGTATTTATACATACTTCGCAGTATATTGAATTTGTTTGGATGAGTGTCTTGTTCAGACATTGGAAAATTTTAAAAATTTGAATTAGGAGGGAAAAAAATATCTTCTTAATTCATTAGGAGAAAAAAACTATATTATACATGTGGATTACAAGGATCACAAAGATTTCGGATTAAAATTTATGAATTTTGATAAAGCTTATAGATATGAAATGTTACAATAGTAAAGCCAAAGTTAATAAAAAATGCTCATATGATAATAAAAATAGATTTTTACTAGTAAGTAGGTGAGATAACTCATGAAAATCTCACAGGTCTGCAGGAGAGCATGAGACAAAGATTTTGGAAGAAGTTAGTGGGGAACTTTAAGGTAATTAAGGATATTTATTTTGCGATAACCTAAATTGAGCTTTTAACCAAAGGGGAGTAGGCCTTGCCTGTGAGTAGAAATGTTGTGTTGGATTTGCCAGAAGAGCAAATCAATCTGTCTTCATAGATTTAGAGCTTCGGGGGCTCCATTTGGAAATAAATTGAGATAAAATTTTGAATAGTTGTAATTTAGATAAAATGTAATTATTATAATCATATGAGTATTTTTTATAAAATTATGTTTAATTCAAAACGTGACACAGATATTTTTTCGACGCCTGCATTGAAAAAGAACTAAAATATCAGATTGTGACTTTTTGACTATTTGAGCTCCGCTCAAAAAGTCAAAAAGTCACACGGATATTTTTAATTTCCACAATGTTTTTTTTTTTTTTTTATGGTTCGAATAACGAAAATGCGCAAGGAATTAATGCGTGTTGGCATTCTTACAGAATGCGGACGATTTAATATCAATATTAATGGTCGAATAATCAAAACGAAGAAGTCTTCTGCAGTTTGTTTCTCAGATTTAATCCAAGAAAAATGCGTTCTTAATAAAATAATGAGTTCTTATGAAACAAATCTAGATTTAAAATGTGAAGATTCAATCGACATACTTTCAGAGTTTCTTGAAACAGGAAAACTTGAATTTGAAGAAGATGAATCACATTACCATGATATATTTGAAATAGGAAAACATTTTGGAAATCAGCTATTCATTCAATTATATTCCGAACATGTTAAATTAAGCAAATCTATTACAAAAGAAAACGTTTTTCAAAAGCATCAAATTTCAGTTTTAGAAAATGATATTAAAACAGAAAACGAATGCATTAGATTCATTTCATCACACTTATATTGTCTAGATGACAAAGATATCATTGAACATTTCACAAGAAATGGCTATGAATTTTGTGAAAAAATCATTACCTCTGACGAATTAAAGATCGACAACGAAGATCACTTGTCCTTCTTACTTTTAGAAATCTGCAAGAATAATGCTTTATTCTTTGATTTATTTAGATACGTCAAATTGGCATTTTGTTCACGCGAAATTTATGACGAAATTTATAACTATTCTATTGAGCATTCATTCGAAAGAGTTCTTCTTTCTATATATAACGAAACATTAAAGAATTATCATTCAAATCTCAGAGAAAATATAGAAATCTCAAATGAACCTATTTCATCATTTGAAAAACCTATAATCAAAAATCAATTTACTATAGCAAATAACTCTTTTAATATAAATGAAATTGTAAAAGCTTCTGAGAAAATTAAGATGGAATTTACAGCTTCATCATGTCATGATGGAAATTTATCAGATATAAATTCTTATAGAAATGATGCTTATTACTATACTAGTGATCTTCCTAATTCATGGATAAAGACTGATCTAAAAGGATATAAATTAAAGCCAACATCTTATGTTTTACAATCAAACGTAAGGTGGGGTGATAATTTATTGAGGAGATGGAAGTTAGAAGGAATTAAAGAAAATGGAACAATTGTTATATTAGATAGTGATAAATACTATGAATTTAAACAAGGAGAAATCAAAGAATTCCCACTTCAAACAAACGAATATTTTGTATCTTTCAAATTAACTCAAATAGGAAAGAATGCAAGCAAAAGAGATTTTTTAATTGTTATGATTTTTGATTTCAAAGGTGTATTAGCAATATTATAAATAACACTATATAAAAAATATAGATCTGATACAACCAACTATATTTTTCTTCTTCGAGAATCCCGTTCTGCTGCATGTCGAAGAGATATCTTGCTCTTTTTCTTCTGAAAAAAAAATCACGATTGCATTTCTTTTGTAAGGCAGCATTGTTTCTTCATCTCCAAGTTCTTCTTAAAACTCAACTTCAAGTTTTATATGATGCCATCTTTTGTAATTAAAGTATATTGTCCTATCTCTGCATTATCTCTCGAAAAGTAAATTGTTCTTATTTAAATAGTTAAAGTTATAATAAAGAAAAGATTTTTCATGTTTATTACGATAAAAAAATGTTAAAACAAAAATAAAAATAATAAAGATAAGTTATTGTTTCATTGATAATATCAACATTGAAGAAGTGATATTATTAGATGCCATGTTGAATATATTGACAGGAGATACCAAATAAGTAGTTACATTTCCTTTACCCTTAAGGTAAACTTCTCCTCTCTTTTCGATGTTGAAATCCAAATTGTGAACCAAGTCAAAAACAGACTGAGGGATTTGAACTTTTCCAGGGATATCTGTTGATTGCAATCTACTTGCGACGTTAATAGGATCACCAATGATATCGAATACAGGCTTATCAGTACCCAAGATGCCTCCAATCAAAGGACCGCCTGTATTAACACCAATTCTGACTGCAAGCATTGATTCCAAGGTCACGTTTATATTTTCAATTTCTTGCAAACAATCGATAGCGAAATGCAGCATTTGTTGTGCATGTTCTTGTGGCTGTCCGTCTGGAGTGAACAAACCAGCAGCACACATGTACACATCACCAATCAATTTGATCTTTGTGATCAATGGATAATCTGTCAAATGTCTGTCAAAAGTGTCAAAAATCAATGACAGATTTCCCATGATTTGTTGTGGCGTCAAATTTGCCGCGTAATCTGAAAATCTGACAATATCAATGAACATGATTGTCGCTGAAGGAACGGTGAATGTAATATCCTTTTCACCCTGGTTGAGCTTGAAGACGATATCTCTTGGAAGGATCTGGAATAAAAGTTCTTCTGACTTCTTCTTCGCGAGTTCGGCCTGTTCTTGTTTCTTCAAAATTTGGCTTTCATCTGAAATGAAGAAAACGTATGTATTTATTTCTTCTCCTTTGGAAGACAATGCAAGAATTGTGACATGGCATTGTATAATGGCTGAATCATCAGCAATGCATTCGAAGTGGTCATCAAAGACTTCTTTTGCTTCTCCTGCCTGCATCAAATCCATTTGTTGTTGAACTTTTGGTCTATCTTTTTCTGTGAACAAAATCACGGCTTGTTGACCTAAGATTTGGTCAGGAACATATCCCAAGATGTCATTCACTGAGTCATTGACCATTTCGACAACACCTGCTTTGTTTACCAAGAGAACACCATTTGAAGAAGAGAAAATAATGTTCTGTGAAAATGTCATTGATTCACTTGATCCTTTCTTAATTCTATTCAACAAGAAATCCATTAACATATGATTTTGTGTGATCAAAAGTGGTGGAATTCTTCTAAATATAGACATCGCTGTCTTGTACATGTGATCTAATTGTAATGCCATGTACATGTGTATCATAAAAACAACAACTGCTAAAATACAACCAATAACACAAATAATCAATGACAAAATTTCAAATCTATCTTTGTTGTGTTGTCCGAGGTAGTCAATACGCTCTGTGACATCAAACAACTTCTTGAACATGTGTGTGTTCTCTAAATGGAAAATCTCTGTAAATATCGTTTCATCTAATCCTGTCAATGATGGAAAACGAACAACAGTGTCATCAATGATTGATTTGACGAATCCAAACAATTGAGATAATGCTGTGCATCGATATCTTTCATGTAACTCTGTTGCTTCTTGTGATGTTGTACAGATATTCTCGTATTGTAGATCATCAAGAACAGAGTCAAAACCAATGCATGGCTTAGTTATATCAGAACCTTCTGATACAACTTCATGGAAATTCATTACTTTCGCAATGATTTTTTCTGTGAGATCTAATTCATATTGGGAATCGATATAAGAAAAGGCGTTTGTTTTAGATAATGCTGCAATTGTTAAGTGTTCAAGACCTTCTGCAAGTAATGGACCTCTTGCGCCTCCTAAGTTCATCCAACCTATCAAAGATTCGAATTTTTTGTTGGCACTTTTTGCTTCATTAAAAGTAACTAAAGCAAAAATAGGAACAATTATAATCAAAAGAATTCCAAATATGAATATATAAACAAATATTTGAGATTCAGGAGGAGAAACAGCACTGTTATCATCTGTATTGCTTTTTCCTATGTTTATTGTTGAATCTTCTTTCACTTTTTGTTGAATTGACTGTAAAATCTCAAGAGTCTTCTTCAAAGTGACGTAATATCCTATTGTTGGACAAACAAACAATAGAATGTTGATAAACAATAAACTAAGAGGAAAAGCAATCTCATAAATAACAATTTTATGAGAATTATCTAATGTATCTTCATTCTCTGTGTTCAGTTCGTTTTCATTGAATACATCTAGTCCTTTTGCAACTGATGGAGCGTTTGATAATGAGTTACAAAGTAATTTTGATGTATTCCATTGATTTGCATCTGTAATGTATATCAAATTGGCTGCAATAGCTCTGTAACTGAACAAAGCATGGATATTTGTGTCCTTTGTCTTGTTTAGAAGAGTTGCATTTGATGTACAATAATATGCAGCATAAGATTGTTTCAAGAATGGAGCGGCAACATTATAAACATCATGGCCGGCCATTGCATAGTTAACAATCTCTGAAATGAAGCTATTGTAGTAATCAAGTGACATAAAATTGTAATAAAGGGCCTGAGCTCTGAAATCTCCCGTAAAATTAATATACGGTGACATGTTTTTGTCTTTGGCACCTTTGCTCTTAACGTAATCGTTAATTGTGTAATATCCATTCTGAGTAGCGAAATAAATGATAGAAGCATACCTAGAAATGGACGAATAGAACCTTGCATAGTTAATATACTTAACCTTGGCAAGAGATGAAGCTCTCTGAGAGAAAAATTGAGATACGATTGTATCACATGCAATCATTACAGCTATCGATAGTGCCATTATCAAGAATATGCAGATCTTCATTGGTTTGGCGCAAGAACTTTGGCGTTCTTCAATTGACCTTTGATATGCGAGTCTTAATTTTGGAGAAGAAAATAGAGCTTTTGCATAAAATTCTTCTTCCTCTGGAGCTATTTCCATAAGCTGAGATAAGGATGTCAAAGTTGAGTTTCCGGTAAATCCAGATTTTGATGTTTGAGTTGAGTTAGAAGAAGCATTTTTATTCTTCTGCTCCATGACTTTACCATGCAAATTAACAATTCCTCGCTTCAAGTAGTGCTGGTACCAATGAATGAAGTTAATAAAAGCAAAATCTTTGTGAAGTCTATGGCCATCTTCAAGAAGAGTTGTTTTATGCTTCTGAACAGTTGCATTTCTGAAGTCTGTCATGATTTCTATCAAAAAGTCGCCGTATTCGTCATAAACTTTTGAAGAATTTGGATAATGATTGATTAACTCGGTCCATCTGTACTCAGTAGTCTGTGCTTCCTTATAGAAAGTGTAGTATGTTGATGCATTTGATGGTGTCTGTAGGAAAAATCCTCTAATTAAGTCTCTGCACCTTTTTGTGAGCTGTCTGACTTCAATAACACGCTGGGAGAACTGTTGGCTTGATGAGGATTGTCTCATTGTTACAATTCTTAAGATTGTATAGATCAAAAATCGATTCATGAAGTTTAATTTGGCAGATCTGAAGAAAGCGGAGTACGTGAACGAAAGAATTCTATTAAAACTTGGTATTTGAGCTGCATATATCAATAATATCCTGTGTAACTCTGGTTCGTGGTACTTATCAATTCCATATTTGAAAATTGCGTTGTCCAAAAAGATTTCGTTCGCCATTTCCAAGGAAACTATTAAGTACTTAACATATAAGTTCATCTTGTAATCTAAGCCAATTTTGTCAAATTCTTCGGAAATAATAGGAATGGAATCACGCTGATCCTCTGGAATTTCGTTTATATGCTTCTTGATTTGGGACTTTGTTTTCCTGTAGATAATCGTGTAAATAATGAAGGATGGAATCATAACAATCGGAAGAGCAATCAAAGGAATGGAATCATGTAAATAGTAGATTCCTTGTATCGCCTGTATGAAGTTAACAACAGCCAAAGTTGTAAATAAAGCTGAAAAATAAGAATTCATCATAAAATTGAAGTAAGGTTGATCGGCACCTCTAATAGCAAAGTAAATGAATACAGAACATTCTAATAGACATCCTATGACAGCCGCCCACTTCGGAAACAGTTCAAGGACATAACTGAAAAATTGGGAAAGAAAAGATAAGAAAATGAAATTAGTATAGTATGAGCCTCTAACTGTTGATAATGGGCCACGTGAAAAATATGGAGAATTCGCTAAAACTGAGAAATGGAAATAATAAAAGAGAAAGAGAATAAGCGCGATCAATAATCCTATTACTGATAGTATGATTTTGATGAAAGCGAGCTCTTTTCTGAGAACACCAGCAAGAAATTGTCCGGCATAGCCAATTGATGGTAAAAGAAAGACAGGAACAACAATTTCGAAGTATCCCCTCAAAAGATACAATAGGGGCTTATTAAAGCTGATTGTAACTTTGTATTGAATAAAAACAGTAAAAAAGATCAACAAAGCTAAGCCAAATACGCATAAGGTAACGTAGAAACCAATCATATTGACATCATATTTGTTGACTGGATCGTTTAGTAAAAAGTATTCATACAGCTTTCGAATGATTTTATCATCTATCCCGCTAGTTTTGATTTCAAGTAGTTTCCTGGCCCAAAGTGATTGCGTAAATATATGTACACTGAAAATAATAAGGGACAAGTACAGGAAAGGTGCAGGTAAATGGATAACTTTTGACATCTGTTCGTATATCGGAAATAATGCATCAAAGGGTCCATAAGTGCCCTCAACTAAATCTTTGTTGATAGTTGAGGTGCTACTTATAGACTGGCTTCGGCTTATGACCGAATCCATGTTCTAAATTTTGAATACTGTTAAACAACAGTTTTCTCTATTTCACTCTCAATTTATTCTTATGTAAAGAACCAATTGACATAATTATGTAGATTTTCTTTAGGTGAGTTTAAGAGTTTCTTTTTTGAAAAAATCTATTGAATTTAAAACAGTTCTGAATAATCGCTAAAGTGTTTGAATGAAATTATTAAAATTTATAGTTTTAAGCATTTTTGGATAAAAATTTTTTGTTCGTTATTTTGAATTGACTGAACTCTGAAAGTATGTTGCTGAACTAAGTTATTCTATGCCTTAAATTAAAATTTCGAGAATTTGACAGCCATGCGATAAAAATCGTTTTCCAATTCAAAAAAATGAATAGCATCTTTACATATAAATGGAAAAGTTTATAAATAGTCCATATGATTAAAATTATCAAAACGTTGAGAAATTTTTTGCTTTCAATTTGAATTCTTTTGGAAATAAGTTAGAATTATTTCTTACAGATATACAATTCATTTTTCCTGAAAAAGTATCTCTCTCATTTTTCGAGTGTTTCTGAAAAATTAAAATAGAATTGCTTTCATTTGTTTTCTATGTATCTCTAGAAGGTTGGATTAGAAAAGATTTACAAAGAGGTCTTGAACATTCACAAATGAGATCATATTTGTTGTCATAAGATTGAGAAACTGACATGTATGATTGTCACAAGCCATGATAATGGTAAGTATTTGAGGTTCTTGTGTCTGTCATCTTATCTAACATGTGGAAGTTGGTCATCAAACCTGCAACTTTTATTTGTTGCTTTTATTGAAATTTCAAATTTGAGGAAGTATATCCTGATCATAGTATAGCTTAAATCCTCATTGATAATGTGAATCAGTTCTTTTCAATTTCTGAAACTAATTACATCAGGGAATTTCCATGTAAATTCCTATTGCTCCATACATAACTTGTTGCAATACTTTGAACTAAACATAATTAAAAAAGGTAAACATTGGCTAAGTTAAAAATTATAAGAACAGGATGATCGAACTGTTTCCTTAAGGTAATTTATAGTTCTATTTTAAAGTAGTCATAAAAATATAGTAATTCAAATCTCTTAAGCTTTATTTCATGATATATATTTAATATTGTTCATCTTCTGGTGTATTGAGGCGTTTTTCTTTAAGTTTACGCTTCTTTTGGACCTCAAGAGATCTGATTTTTTCGTTTTCTTCACGTTCGGCGTTGATTCCTTCTCTCATATTCATCTTCAATGTCTGTGCTTGGCTTGCATCAAGGAAGCTTACTCCAAGCATGTGCTGGACACCTCTGTTGACAATAAGAAGCTGTTCAAAGTGGAATCTGGCAATGCGTTTTGTTGCATTTAAGAAAACATTCTTTTTCATGCCAGGAACTTCAGCCATCTGAATGTTTACGCTGATCTTTGTAGTGTAGTCTTCTCCATCCAATAAGCCTTGGATTTGTTTTGTCTTCTCACGAACGAGTTTCTGGTTATCTTTGTTATCAATGCCAGATGCTGCTTGTCTGAGAGGAATTCTGTAATCGTTGATGTAAGCATTAAGGATTTCTTCGGCTTCTGGCTTTGGCTCGTCTAATTCTTCACCTTTATCATTAACAAACTGACGCTCGAAGAGGTATTCGTATGTTAATCCGTATAAATCGAGGGTGGCAAGGACTGTTGGACCATCACCAGAATCGAATCCTTTGTCTAAAACCTTCTTGATATTTTCATAAAAAACATCAGTAACAGTTGATGTAGCGAAGCATGGGAGTAAAAGGTTAATAGCTGTGATGGACTCGGCGATCAACTCGTCATTCAAATTCTTGTACAATTTGTCGTTTGTGAAGAAACTGAATAATTTATCAAGAACTTTTGTTGTATATTCTGTATTGCGAACAGTGAGAATGCAAATGTAACCGATTGCGAATGCTCTGAATGGGTTTTCATTGATCTCTTGTAGTTGGTCGAATGTAGGAATGAGTTCATTGATAAATGCCATTGCAGCTGGTTCGAAGTATCCATACAGATGCAAGCAAACTGTGCAGATGCAGATTAATGCTTCAACAGATTCTGTTTTATCTTCAGAATAGAAAATTGGATCATGAAGGTTGAGCATAAGATCATCGACATATGTTCTGAGTTCTCCACCAACAGATCTTGCGGTGAGAATGTCTGTGATAGAACGAATTGTATTAATTCTCTCCATATCTGTAGTTTCAGCAAGGCGCTCAACAAGATTTGGAAGATTTACCCTCCAATTATCTAATTCTGTTCTTGGTTCTTCATATGCCTCTTCTTCATGGTCTTCGTAATTTTGTTTCTTTCCTTTCCTCTTTGGTGCCATTTTTGTAAAAGTGACAAAATTTTTCTCCAAAAAAAAAGTCATATTTCTTATGAGTGAATGGCGGCGAGTCCAATTCTTCCGCCAAAACATCCTAGGAACTATGACTGATAGAGTGGGGGATCCAACACAACCAATTGATTTATATAAGAAGGTTCACCAAGAATCTTTAAATTTAGTTTTACAAAATATTGCAACAGGTGATTTCTCGGATCAACATCTTCAACCATATATGACGAGACTTTCATATTTTACAGAATCACTCTCTAATCCAAAATTTAATAAATTAACTCCAGATTTTGAGATCTATTCTGATAAGACGTCTGTCGAATTCAAATTTTGGAATGATTATTTTACAATATCAAGCAAAAACTCTCACGAAAACGAAATCCCATTCTGTTATAATAATAATCTTTATCCAATTCTTGAAGATATCGAAAATGGAGTAATCAGTAAAATGCTTTTCAAAATCCTTCGCTATTTTAAGCTAGAATTCCTTGATGGAAAAGTTTTGGTTGCTATCATCGATTACAGGTCGAATATAGAGCAAAGGCATTACGCAGAGTTATCTATAACTCCTGAATATTTTAAAGAGCTCACCAAAGAATATCCTCCTATAATACAAGATAAAATATTCACCGATTTAACTAGCAAAGAAATTTGTAATGATCCTTCTCCAAATGTTGCTAGATATAGTAGCATTGTTGACTGGAGAGAAAAAATGTGGAAACCTGAAAGAAAATACGAATATTGTTTCGAGCCTAAAGAACCTGAACTTCCTATTAAGAAACCCGACTTTAAAGTTATCGGCACCAATCAAATTTCCGATTTCCAATTACCCGCTGATATCAAAATTCCTGATTTGGTTTTACCAGCGAAAAAATAGAGTTCTTATCTATGTAGTTTTATTGTTATTACTATTTATATTGTTTATGTAAATTGTTATTAGTTATTAATCAAAATGAAAGGCAATTTTTTATCTTCTTCCGAGCTTATTTATTATGTAACTCATTTTTCATTTAAGCTTAACAATGTGTATGACATACTGGAAGCATTTATAAGGAATTCATATAAATATCGGCTAAAAAAATCAATTATTGCTCAATTCTTGACAATATTGCATGATTTCATAATGAAATTGATTGCATACAATTTTTATACTTATTCATCACCTCCAGATTTTCCAAAAAAAATTTAAACTCCAAATTTTGATTTGAAAATTCTAAATTATTACAAATAGAATTTTAAAAAACTCAAAAATTCGGAAAATTTTCATAAAAAACAAATCGATAAATATATTTTAATTTAGGTATATGTTATTTATTCATCAAAATATCAGAATTTTATAGATATTTTTAAATTTTTGAATACAAATTTTATTTTAAAGCTAATAATTTATACACATAAATCTGCTAAAAAACTCTATACTTTATTAAAAACAAATACAAACATAAAAATTAAATTCTGCAACCACATCCATCAACATCATCTGAATAAGATGGTGTATCATTAGTGTCTTCATTCTTTTCTTCAGGAACTTCAGGTTTCTTCATCAATCTTTGTACAAGATCGCTTGGAAAATCTGAGGGAGGCTCTGGTAATTCACCTCTAGGCATAGCAAGAGATATCGTAGTAGCTGTTCTGATAATTTCATCTGGTGAGAGCTCCCAATCAAATCTATCCATGAAACTTGAATTTGTATCTACCATTGCTTCACCTAAAAGCTGGTAAAATAAGCTGTAGTTTGGTATGTCATCTCTTTTCATACTTAGAATTAATCTGTACATAATAATATATTGATGAGGAAGTCCTTCACAAAAATTAGCGATATTAGCCTCTTTTTTTGCTACTAGAACAACATCCTTGTTATTAACTGTTGGCCAAGGAAGTTCTCCAGCATGAATTTTCAGTAAAACAACAAACCAAGAAAAAAGATCGTCACAGCATCCTAGTTCAAGGCCTTTATGTGCATTAAAAGATGCGTATGGTACTGTTCCAACGAATCCAGGGCTATCACGTGGTGGTATCATTTCTCCGTTATCATCGAGAAATGCTTTACTTAATCCAAAGTCTATTAAAATGAGAGGATGTTTACGACTTGGTCGAATTAAGAAGTTACCAGGTTTAATATCCCTGTGAACTAAACCGAATTTATGAAATGCTTCTATGCAACGAAGCATTTCGATTCCTAATCGAATTGCTGTTGATGCTGAAAATACAGACCCACTAGATATTCTTCTTGCACCTATTAATGATGGGCCAAGAAGTTCAAGAACAAGCCAGAGATATTCATCACTTTCTCCATAGTCATGGAAAACCGGAAAGTAAGGCGAGGATTGTATTTTCTTGAGAATTTGTGCTTCTTTATCTAAACTTGTCTTTTTGTTAGTTTTTAACTCTATTTTAATTGCCCAAGTTGAATGATCACGTTCATCTTCACATGAATATATATCACCGAATGAGCCATGACCAATAAATCCTTTGATCACGTATTTATCAAAAGTAGACCCGGGAATTAGCCTAATCCGGGATTCCTTTGAACTCATTCAGAATTCTGCTTGAATTTTGAGAGTTGTAAAATATGTTATCAAAAATTACTGAAACCATTTCAGATAAGGTAAAATTTTGGAACATCGTTGCTTTGCTCGAATTTTATACCATAGCTAAGGCCACACACACATTCATACATCACATTCATTACCCTTAAACTTTCATTAAAGCAATATTTCTTAACAAAATCATATAGAAAGATATGAAATAAACACCAAATATCAAGACATATCAAAGAGTTTAGAGATATAATCCAAGGGTTATTCATTTTAACTGATGTTGTTCGCTATTTATAACTATATTTAATAAATTATAGAGAATTCCAATGGCAATTTTTAAAAATTTGACATATAAATGTAACAATTGAACAATATGGCCTGAACTAATAACAAATGAATATTCAACCATACATGGCATACTATAAGTTTTGTGGTTTATTATAGAAGTGTATTAATTCTAACCATCATCTCTAAGCTAAACTTGTTTCAACGATTAATGTTTATCCATAGAGCACCTTAATGATGCAGTTGTACATATATATTGCCTCATAATTTTCTGGATCTTTAGATCAAATTTCCATTAATACTTCAATATCTACCTGTTTATATATAGAATAATGCATATAAATAGATAGAAAAGGATAAGTATTAACTTTGATCATCGATATTTGATATTTCGTGAAAATAATATTCCTATATTAAGGAATAACAATTCTACAAAGTCTGGTTGTAATAATATATTTTCTCAAAATAGCATCCTATGTAGATAAATATTGTTTATTATTTAAAATTTGGAATAATAAAAATTTATTTATGCATAAATACATTTCCAACAAGTTAAAAATACTATATTAACAATATTGAGCATTGTTTTGTCAAAGACTTAATCAAATTTCCAAGATAATTTATTGCAAATAAACATTTTGTTCAGTAATTATTTTTTTGAAAATCCGACTCACACAATCCATGTCGTGAAGGGTGCATGCCAAAATTATAGCCTCAATGTTTTTTTATATTATGATGATAGATATTGGTAATCGCGATGGATCTTATGTGGTGTAAAGTGAATATTATTGTAAATTATTTCGGAGTATGAACTAATTAAAGGAAAATACTATTCAGCCACTAAATTGATATTCAAAAATTCAATTTCATGGACAATTATTAAAGATTTGTAAGTATGGTCTGATTCTGAAATAATTCTTTGCCTATAAAAAGTTCTTTCAAGAAGGTTTCTCTCTGAAAGTTCACATTCCCATTCGTAATAAAAATTTTGCACTTTTCTAATTTGCCGCGTCAAATGTCAGGCGGGAGGCTATCAACTAATTAAAGATTATATAATGTTATGATATAATGGATTAAAAAAACGATAGAATGTCAGGCGAAAATGAGGGAAAAAGTGAGAAAAAGTGGCTTTTCAGTTTACAATTTTTAGTTGATACACATCTTTTATTATATTTACCGTCAACACAAACAATTACATTCAATTTTTAAAAATGTCCGGAATAATTAATGAATATCACCGATAAGTGATATCCACGAAGAGATTGGGACAAAGTTGCAATTCGGCACTTTTTGTAAAAAAAATGGGGTCATACTCATAATGAATAGAGACTTATAGCCAAGTCTTGATATCATGCAGGGAGAATATACATTGATAAGCAATTATATTTTATAGTAGTAGTATTCAGAAATTCTTACAATTTACAATACAATTTTCAAAAATGGATAAAGACTTATAGCCAAGTCTTGATATCATGCAGGGAGAATATACATAGATAAGCAATTATATTTTATAGTAGTAGTATTCAGAAATTCTTACAATTTACAATACAATTTTCAAAAATGGATAAAGACTTATAGCCAAGTCTTGATATCATGCAGGGAGACTCTCTACAAATACAAAAATTGATTATCATAAGGAAATACAAATTTATCAATTTTCATGTGAAAATTACATAAATTTGTTCTCCAATAAATAGCAATAATACTTTGAATGTTATATTAAGTAATATAGCTTCAGGTAAATAAGCTTACACTTCAAAAATATACTGTTTATTCATTAATTTTAAAAAAAGTCCAAATTATCTAATCTTGCTTACTCTTCCTTTAAACTTCTTTGTGCCAAATTTAATATTGTCTTCAAAGATGGAATAAGGACATTAGGTTCAATCCTTCGGCTTTCGACAATTTCCAAAATGTGTTGAATTAATTTCAAACATTCATCGTGTTTTGAAGCTCTTTGCTCAACAATCTGATTACCTGCCCTTGTAAGAATTCTTACTGCTCTATCTTCATTCAAAACATTAGCGACTTGAACCTTAATAATCGCATTTGGAATCACAACAGTGATGAGAGTTATGACGATATAAAAAATATTTTATTATACTCATTCGAAATTAAAAATAATAAAATTTATATATATTAATTTCATTAAATCAAGGTTAAAAATCTCACCGGAAAAATAACCTCAGTGTGATAAATTTATCACCGGAAAAATTTACAATAAGGTTAATACCGAAAATATCGAAAAATAAACATTTAAGGTTAATTTAAGAGTATGCACTTTTGTCACCTACTCAGAATACATATCAATTAAATTCATGTCGGTTTATAATTTCATAAAATGGCAGAGAACCAGGAACCAAATCAAGCTGAAGTAGCAAACGTAACTGAAGGAATGGAAGAGGATGATAAGAAGGTAAAGGTCCTTGATCTTGGAATCGGAGAAAAAGATTCTCTTGTTGCAATGGAAATGCAAGATTCCCAGAAGACAGGTTTCAGGAAGCCCAAACACTCTGCTGCTAGAAAGAAATCAATTGATCGCATTTTTGGTAAGATAGATCAAGTTGAAGTTGATTTAAAACAAGTAGTCCTATTTCAAACCACATTTTACTTACATAAAATTTCTTTGTTATGACACTTTCTCCGGTTTATAGGACCTCTCTCATATTCTATCTTGTCATATCTAAACTCATAGTCATGTATGTCCTCTAACATTCATGACACTTTCCAAACCATTTTATCGGATGTAAAGTAAAAGCATGGATGGTTATGTAAAACGTCTAAAGTTTCTAAAGAGTCTCTCAAAGTCCAGTCTACTTGGTATTGAAAATCCCATGTGTTATAGAACGGCGGGTCCACTATAAGAAAACATTTTCCTTGTCTTTATATTTTCATACAACTCTGTCCAATGACATCTCACAAACTCTATACCTCAATATATTTTCTATGTCCTCTTTGAAAACATTTGTATAGTTAAGATATAAAACTTTGACATAGTGTTTCGATAAGTTAGTTTACAAGTCTATCGTAAAAGAAATGCCCGTTGTGGTCTTCTTTTACTATTATTAGTATGCCGCTGGAAGCATACCCCAACTATGAGGTACCGTTAATCATAATGACATGAGCAGTTACGCAATATTCTGCATCTTTTTCCACATTTTATTTGCAACATGGGGTGAAAGAAGAAGATCAAAGACGATTTCTTAACTATTATGAGCTTGGCTTGTCGCCACTCTTAACATTGAGAAGCTCGTTCCCTTGTTATCACGCGATGTGCGGTTAAACTTTTTCACTATGATCTTTCGTGCACCCTATAATGAAAGGAAAATACCTTCGCAAAGAGATAGAATAATTAACATGATTGCTAATAAACAAAGCATCGTGTGATAACATCATTAGATTGATCGTAATAAACTAAAAACGTTTCAAGATCATCATATAGATCATGTGCCAAGCAAGAATATAGAATAGTTAGATGCATCACCAAAGAAGCGATTCATATCACACGTTAAAGGAATGAAACCAAAATCAATGTTGTTGTGAAATATGGCATAATTATGCAATCTTTATTTGGTTTTTGATATTATTCAAACAATTTATTCATAGGATCTCTTGATTTTCCGCCTAAAAATGATAATTCTAAACATTTTTCAGTTATTTCTGGGTCAAATTTCGTTATTAATAACTTGAAGCAATCAAACAGCTCCATGGTAACCAACTATAATTCAAGTAATGAATACCCTTCTTTAGAAATTTGGATATAAACTGCATTCAATTTTTGATCTTGATCAAATCCATCGCTTTCAATGAAAAGATGAATCTTTCTATGTCATTATACATAATTGCTTTGTAAATTGTATTTTTCTGTATGAATATTGAGATTTATCTAAGTTTTATTTTTTCTGAAATCAGCAGATTTGTCTAATTTATTCATATTCTTTATAATATATGAAGTTAGAAACAACTGAAACTTTTAGTGACCTCTGTTACTTGATAATCATCAGTATGAATTGGCAAGAGTCAGATAGTACTTTTGTATAGCGGTTATTGAAACGGAATGATGCTCTAAAATATCATTCTTGATAATATTTTGAGGAGAATAATTCTTTGAATCAATTAACTCGGTTTTAATCATTTTTGTAAATCGAGTTTAATTCTCCTTCAATTTTCAGTTTTAAGCTGATTACAAGGCCTTAATATGAATCGATGTAGTATTTATAAATACTTCGCAGTAATATTGAATTTGTTTGGATGGTGTCTTGTTCAGACATTGGAAAATTTTAAAAATTTTTGAATTAGGAGGGAAAAAAATATCTTCTTAATTCATTAGGAGAAAAAACTATATTATAACATGTGGATTACAAGGATCACAAAGATTTCGGATTAAAATTTATGAATTTTGATAAAGCTTATAGATATGAAATGTTACACATAGTAAAGCCAAAGTTAATAAAAAATGCTCATATGATAATAAAAATAGATTTTTACTAGTAAGTAGGTGAGATAACTCATGAAAATCTCACAGGTCTGCAGGAGAGCATGAGACAAAGATTTTGGAAAGAAAGTTAGTGGGGAAACTTTAAGGTAATTAAGGATATTTATTTTTGCGATAACCTAAATTGAGCTTTTAACCAAAGGGGAGTAGCTTGCCTGTGAGTAGAAAATGTTGTGTTGGATTTGCCAGAAGAGCAAATCAATCTGTCCTTCATAGATTTAGAGCTTCGGGGGCTCCATTTGGAAATAAATTGAGATAAAATTTTGAATAGTTGTAATTTAGATAAAATATGTAATTATTATAGATTCATATGAGTATTTTTTATAAAATTATGTTTAATTCAAAACGTGACACACGATATTTTTTCGAGACGCCTGCATTGAAAAGAACTAAAATATCAGATTTGTGACTTTTTGACTATTTGAGCTCCGCTCAAAAAGTCAAAAAGTCACACGGATATTTTTTATAATTTCCACAATGTTTTTTTTTTTTTTTTTATGGTTCGAATAAACGAAATATGCGCAAGGAATAATGCGTGTTGGCATTCTTACAGAATGCGGACGATTTAATATCAATATTAATGGTCGAATAATCAAAACGAAGAAGCTTCTCTGCCAGTTTGTTTCTCAGATTTAATCCAAGAAAAATGCGTTCTTATAAAATAATGAGTTCTTATGAAACAAATCTAGATTTAAAAATGTGAAGATTCAATCGACATACTTTCAGAGTTTTTGAAACAGGAAACTTGAATTTGAAGAAGATGAATCATTACCATGGATATATTTTTGAAAATGGAATTCATGGAATAGGCTATTCATAAGTATTTAAGACATGTTAAATATTAGGCAAATTAGTATTAATGACGATTATAGAAGCTATAAATTCTTTACAGAATTATAAAATGCATAATTTCAGTTTTGAATAGAATGATATTGGAACAGAAATCATTAGATATCAAATATCATACACTTCACGCACAATATTCGTTAGATGAACAAAGTATACTAATTGAAATTTCACACAGAAAATGGCTAGAATTTTGTGAAAATCATACTGTACTGAAGATTAAACATCGACGACAACGAAGATCACTGTCCTTCTTACTTTTAGAAATCTGCAAGAATAATGCTTTTTCTTTGATTTATTTAAGATACGTCAAAATTGGCATTTTTGTTCACGACAGCGAAATTTATGAAACGAAATTTATAACATATCTCTATTTGAGCATTCATTCGAAGAGTTCTTCTTTCTATATATAAGAACATTAAAGAATTATCATTCAAGATCTCAGAGAAAATATAGAATCTCAAATGAACCTATTTCTCATCATTTGAAAAACCTATAATCAAAAATCAATTTACTATAGCAAATAACTCTTTTAAATATAATGAAATTGTAAAAAGCTTTCTGAGAAAATTAGATGGAATTTACAGCTTCATCATGTCATGATGGAAATTTATCAGATATAAATTCTTATAGAAATGATGCTTATTACTATACTAGTGATCTTCCTAATTCATGGATAAAGACTGATCTAAAAGGATATAAATTAAAGCAACATCTAATGTTTTACAATCAAACGTAAGGTGGGGTGATAATTTTATTGAGGAGATGGAAGTTAGAAGGAATTAAAGAAAATGGAACAATTGTTATATTAGATAGTGATAAATACTATGAATTTAAACAAGGAGAGAAATCAAAGAATTCCCACTTCAAACAAACGAATATTTTGTATCTTTCAAATTAACTCAAATAGGGAAAGAATGCAAGCAAAGAGATTTTTTAATTGTTATGATTTTGATTTCAAAGGTGTATTAGCAAATATTATAAATAACACTATATAAAAAATATAGATCTGATACAAACCAACTATATTTTTCTTCTTCGAGAATCCCGTTCTGCTGCATGTCGAAGAGTATCTTGCTCTTTTTCTTCTGAAAAAAAAATCACCGATTGCATTTCTTTTGTAAGGCAGCATTGTTTCTTTATCTCCAAGTTTTCTTCTTAAAACTCAACTTCAAGTTTATAATATGATGCCATCTTTTGTAATTAAAGTATATTGTCCTATCCTGCATTATCTCTCGAAAAGTAAATTGTTCTTATTTATAATAAGTTAAAGTTATAATAAAGAAAGATTTTTCATGTTTATTACGATAAAAAAATGTTAAACAAAAAATAAAAATAATAAGTAAGTTATTGTTTATTGATAATATCAACATTGAAGAAGTGATATTATTAGATGCCTGTTGAATATATTGACAGGAGATACCAAAATAGTAGTTACATTTCCTTTACCCTTAAGGTAAACTTCTCCTCTCTTTTTCGATTGTTGAAATCCAAATTGTGAACCAAGTCAAAAACAGACTGAGGGATTTGAACTTTTCCAGGGATATCTGTTGATTGCATCTACTTGCGACGTTTAATAGGATCACCAATGATATCGAATACAGGCTTATCAGTACCACAAGATGCCTCCAATCAAAGGACCCCTGTATTAACACCAATTCTGACTGCAAGCATTGATTCCAAGGTCACGTTTATATTTCAATTTCTTGCAAACAATCGATAGCGAAAATGCAGCATTTGTTGTGCATTGTTCTTGTGGCTGTCCGTCTGGAGTGAAACAAACCAGCAGCACACATGTACACATCACCAATCATTTGATCTTTGGATCAATGGATAATCTGTCAAAATGTCTGTCAAAAGTGTCAAAAATCAATGACAGATTCTCCATGATTTGTTGTGGCGTCAAAATTTGCCGCGTAATCTGAAAATCTTGACAAATATCAATGACATGATTGTCGCTGAAGGAACGGTGAATGTAATATCCTTTTCCCCCTGGTTGAGCTTGAAGACGATATCTCTTGGAAGGATCTGGAATAAAAAGTTCTTTTGACTTCTTCTTCGCGAGTTCGGCCTTGTTCTTGTTTCTTTCAAAATTTGGCTTTCATCTGAAATGAAGAAAACGTATGTATTTTATTTCTTCTCCTTTGGAAGACAATGCAAGAATTGTGACATGGCATTGTATAATGGCTGAATCATCAGCAATAGCATTCGAAGTGGTCATCAAAGACTTCTTT